AAGGATCATCGGTAAACAATGCGAAGACGAGGAGTTCGATTCCCCTGGGGGCTGACACTTGTGATCCACAGATCTGATTCATCGACCAGGAAATTATTGCAAATGCCGCAAAATTCGAAAACTAATAGGAAGGAGAGCATAGTTACAGCAACAGTGCTGGCTATGCTTTCCTATTCGGATTATCAGGAATACCTCATCGATGGCGATTTCTACAGCGCTGCAGGAGAACACTATCGAAAACGGACGTTCTCGAACATTCCGATCCTGACTAATAAAGGAATGTGAAACATTACCAAACAGTCAGCAGAAGAAATCATGCCGGGTTCCTCCGTAGCATTTATATCCTAGTTTCTCCCAGATGAACTTCTCCCAATAGTAATGTAGAACCCACCATACATGATGGAATAATTATGTCCCAGTTGCTTCGGTAACGCAAGAATTTGCAATACAATCCACAGATTCACATGGTGGACCAGACGAATAATTAAAATCTATGAATGTCGAGGACATAACACCGGTAGAATTATAAAGAATTTTATTAAAATTTATTCTCCGGAATCGTACCATTTTAAGCAAATTCACTGACGCGGATAACGAGGGGATCAAGTATTTCTGCCGGTCCATAACGTATTGACCAAATCGATAGTGGTCACCATCGATGCAGTACAATCCACAGATTCATATAGTGGGCCAGACGACTAATTAAGTACTATGAATGTTGAGGATATAACAACAATAGAATTATAGAGAGCTTTATTAAAATTTTTTCTCTGGAATCGTGCCATTTTAAGCACATTCACTGAAGCGGATAACGAGGGGATCAGGTATTTCTGCCGGTCCATAACGCATTGACCAAATCGATAATGGACACCATCGATGCAATACAACCTACAGATTCACATGATGGGACAGACAACTAATTAAAATCTACGAATATCGAAGATATAACACTAATAGAGTAGAGGAAGCTCTATTAAAATTTATTCTCCGGAATCATGCCATTTTAAGCAAATTCACTGACGCGGATAACGATGGGATCAGGTATTTCTATTGGCCCATAACGTATTGACCAAATCGATAGTGGACTCCATCGATGAGATCCCCATTGCACTGGCAAACAGGCATGCGCTTAAATTGTTGCGGTTGATAGTTTTCAGCTAACAAGACGTTACCTGGTGAACCACTGAGGGAAAAAAAGCGAAAACAGAAGCATATCTGCTACACGTTACTTCCCCTTCTACTGCAATACAACATTAACTTTCTTTAGTCTCCTTTAGCATTCAGTTCCCCCTCCTTTCCTGCTTCATCTTCCTTCGGTAATCAACATGTTTCTTTTAACTTGGTGAAGTGGGGTACTGTACTGATGATTCCCACTCCATTTTGCATTGACTCTGTCGTCTGTGTGTTTATAGCTCAGGGATGAAACACAGAGAGTCACTGTACATACAGGCTTGTTTATTTTGAAGATCTAAGTTGCACTTCCAGTTTTTTATTAATTATCAGAATTCGACCGTGTTCCTCTCCACAGTGAGCCAATAACGCCAAGCAAACTACATATGTTAACACAGATTTCATGCCCCCCGTTCTCTTCCAGTCTTCTTGCCAGGAATATTCACTGTTGTATCTTTAAAATTCGTACAACACTACAGTGGGAAATAATTGCGGGCAGTGAAGAGCAAAACATTTTGGATTCTTTCAGAATGTTTGAGAACAATTGTCCTCTACAACTGCAGTTGTACTTCAACGTCCGGCTTCCTTTACAGGCTTATGCTGGCGAAAAACCCCTGCTATATTTGCCAGTGCATGTCGTTTATCAATCTTTGTTTTGTCAGGGCAAAATTTCAATCAAAAAATTTACTTAGAATAACATATAAAGCGAAGTTTATTTACAAGCTGATATAAAGAGCTCAATCGATCAAAAGCAAATTCCACAAGATATGAGGCATGGATGTGTATTTGAGTTAGATGTGAGAAGCATAAATGAGTGAGAGCAAAAGGCACAGCAAATAAATGAGGCAAATGTACAGGCTGTTCAAACTGACTGAATACATTAATACAAAGTGAGAAAAGCGAGCCAACCCGCCCTAAGGTAAGCAAGGCAAAAAAATATCACTAAACAAAAGCGATTCAGAAGCATTTCAACAAAACATTGCACAAATCCGCGCATACAAGCTTATTTTCATGCATCAATTTTGACATTTCTCATACATGTGGCACTGATACGACAACAATGCCCGCTCATTTATGTATATTAATTCTAACAACACTTATACATTTACATAGACACATACACACACACATACACAAACACATACACACATACACATCCACACACAAACACACACGTGACATGGAGAACTTAGTACTACTGGGGTTCGGTTCTTCACAAGGTATTGCCTTCGATAGCCCCTTTTTCTTATTTCTTTTACTTCATTTGTGATTACCAAGAACGTCAAGACTGCTTAGGCTATCAATTTCAACTTCAGCTTTCCAGGCACGTGGAGTACCCAAGTACGGGTATGTGAAGGTTCTGGCAGGAAAATTGCTAACTCGGCACGTAGAAAAGCTGGGTATCCCTCTACTAGTGATGTTATTAGGATGTTCCCATACGCCGAGCGCTGGTATGCTAGGCCCTTCGATCCTGGGCTGTATGCCTCCAGTTTGCACCCACTGCCTGTTCTATGCATGTGTGACATCTCTTCTCGGCTCTCCCGAGTGATCGCTTACTTCTTCGTGAGTACCACTCACTAATGCGCATTGTTCACTGGTTGTTGGCAAAGCGAGCAAATAGCAAAATTAAGTTGCGGTTATATATCAGATAAAATTCTGCAAGACACTGCTCAAATATGGAGTTTTACTTCCTACAATGGAAAAAATTTTTGGATGAAGCGTATCACTTCACAGTTATTACCAGTTCTTTAAATAAATATGACTGGTGTTAAGCTAGAATGATAAAGTATGGTATGCTGAATAGATATATTAAAACTGACAGCAGTTACTTTCTCCAGATATGTTAAATAGAGGCAGCAATTTGGTCCAGTTCGGGACAAAATACTGCTCAACAGGTACCAAAAATATCAAGAAACAACTAAAACTTTATCAAATGATTCTAACACGAGAACCAATGATCCGACTATTCCTTCAAGAGACCAAACAAACGCAGGAATTGCTAATAAGTTGAAGGAAGAGCGACGTAGCGTTGACAAAAACAATTGGAAATGTTACCAGTCATGTAAAAAGCAAAGCCTTCGCTCGTTCAGTCAAAACTACAAAAATATTAAAAAAAATTTTAAAAGCTGAGCTATCCTTCGATGACTTTCGAGCTAGACGTCGGAATGCGACATTCCCCTAGCAGATCGGATTTCCGACAGAGACCCTACTCTTTTTTCCCATGGATGTCAGGGATGGATTTTATCGTCGTAGATCGTCGTAGACTATAAGTCATATTTTTGGATGACAGCGTCTGCGAATTCTATCGTTGACGAATAGCCGCCAAGATCGCGAGTTCTCACTTTCCCTTCGGCAATTACTTTTTCAACGGCAGCGCGAAGTGCCGAACCATATTTCTTTAACCTCAAATGGTGCAGCATATCGGCGCAACACAGAAGCATCGCTGTCGGGTTAGCAATTTGCCTGAAACAAATCAGTGAAAAAATAAACAGCAACGCGCACCAGACTAGCCGGTGCGATCATGCGTTTTGTGCAATTCAGCCC